CACATTCACTATATGAGTAAACACTACGATCTTTTTCAGAAATTCATACGTAATAAGAAAACTAGAATACTAAATCACCATCTTCACTTCTAAATTTGTTACTGCTCCATCAAACCCTAAACCTAAACCATGTATATTTCATGAATCCAATAAAAAACTCCATCGCATATTTCCCTAAAACCCAACCAGAACCGGGACAATACCGGAATATACCGGTTTGGAGCATTGTAGTAACATCTAGATTATATAGAGTTGAATGGGTTAATAAAAGGTGGGGCCTTTCGTAAATTGCGGGAAGAGCAAGGACACCACCCAAATTGGATGATTGTAGATGAAAATGGTTAATGTTATTATTATTTATCGTACCGATTGATAAAAAATTGCTCCTGACAAATTTTATCATCCACATAAAGCGTTTTATGAAGAATGGAGTGTGGTTGTTGCAGTAGTGGTGGTGGCCCAAAAATGATATACCCAATCTTATGGGACATCATTCACCAGCATAAAACCTTGTCTCTTATGCACATATAAATAATGCATCGATGAACCGGTTTGGTTTGGTTTGTCTCAGACCGGTTTAATTTGCTTCTAATGCTAATATGGTTGAAGTTGGGGTTGGGTTATTGACTATATTGTGTGTTACTCGGTTTTTTAATCTGCTTGGCCAAAAAGAACAAAAAATGTTATTTTGGAAAATTTATTACCAAGCTAGCCCGAGAAAAAACTTATTATATAACCCACTCCATTATACAAAATTACCAATGATGCGGTACATTTTCAGTGAGAAACAACATTAGGTTAAAATTCGTGACAATGAAACAAGAACATCGTTATCACAAGATTTAAATGTTGTAGACAAGTTGCATATGATATATTCATATCAATTGTTCTTTCAATAATAGAGCCAAATTTCTATATTTTCGTATGAACCAATAAGGTTTGAGAGATCAGTCGAGTCGTTTTCACCGCCTCTTAGACAACACGATCCTTCACATCAAACCGAAATATCATTAACCGATTTTCAATATTTAGGATTCTCCAATTCCTTCTAAAACCAATTTTTTTTTTTTCAATTTTCCAAGACATACGTCGATATTCCACAAGATAATTCTTTATAGCTTGTGAAAGCCGAGCAACAGGCTAAACCGTGGGACATAGAGTTTGGTTAAACAATTGAAATTCTATCTAAACCAGATTAACCGTCTTAGCTGTTTGGATATTGGTTATCATGGAATATTAATCAAGTTGACTATTTGGATATTGGTTGACTCAGTTATCAGTTATCAGTTATCATGGAATATTAATCAAGTTGACTATTTTGAAAATGTCTTGTTAGAATCCCATATTAGTTTAATCATAAGCTCGCCATGTTTTGTTACTAATTTCATAATTTGACACTATGTGAGAGTACAAAAGTAATTTTAAATAATATATGGCTAGTTTTTGGTAAACTAACGTGGAAGTAATGATGATTTTTTTTTTTTTTAAATCTTTATAAAATAATTTTCGACAAGATACTCTGGTTGAGAACAAATAATAGTGTACCAAAAACACATTTTTCATAGTGTCAACAAGACTCTTGATTTCAGTAGTGTTCTTTATTAATCGACAAACATTATAAAAACAAAATAATAATTCAGGAATCATGAGCGTTTAACTGAAAACCAATTGAAAATAACTAAATAAGTATATTAACCCATCATTTTTATATACTATGTTAGATACATCTATACTACAATGTAGAATATTCGAATATAGCCGATTCAATACGAAGTAGTTGCGTGTGTCTTTTACTCGATTAACGTTATAAGAACTTCGCAAACCAAATGAGCTAAGAAATCGGATAAGTTTACTTCTAGGATATGTACGTACGGTGCCTTGCTAATGAGGAAAGTAACAGAGGAAAAAACAGAAAAGGTCAATATCAAAGAGAGTAACATATCTTTGTTTTTAAGTTGTACGTATAGTCTCTAGAGTTTTCGCTTGTTTGTAATAACCACACACCAAAATTT